GCTAGAAATCACCAACCACACAAATGTCAACAGGGAAATGACTGGCGCGGCAGCAGATCACAAAGGGAAATGAGTCAACAGCATCTTGCTGATGCAAAAAAAGCCAAAGTAGCCTGGAGTCAATTAGCAGAAGCATCGACCATTGGAGGTGAAATCACCCATCCGGTTTACTCAGAGCTGGAGTGCTGTGTCCAGCTTGGGACGTGGCAATTGAAGAAAGGTGTTGAGACAGTCCAGAGGAGAGCAACAAAAATGATGCGCTATCTAGAAAACATGACTGATGGGGAAAGATGGAAAGAATTGGGTTTGTTTAGTCTCAAAAGGGAGGCCTGAAGGGAGACATAAGTCTTCCAAGATGTGAAAGGTTGCTGCAAACAGGAAGGTTATAAACTGCTGTCCATGTCCACGGGGGATAGGAAGGACAAGATGTAGTGGGTTTAAATCACAATGAGGGTGATTTAGGATAGACATTAGGAAAAACTTTCTAACTGTAAAGGAAGTTAACCACTGGAACAGATTACCTGGGAGACTGTGGAATCTCCATCAGCGGAGGTTATTAAGAGCCACTTAGACACATTTCTAATCAGGAGTGGTTTAAGGCAGTGATTCCCAACCAGGATGCTGTGGCAAGTGTGCAAACATCTATGCACCAAACACAAGATAAACCAAGAGAGTTCAAATAGGAATCTAGAGCACCCAAAACACGAGTCTGAGTTCTTTGCAAGAGGAGAAGTGCTCTCTTCTTTTTCTGTGCTCAAAAAACAAGTGAAAGCTAAGCACTGGTGTTCTCCGGGGCGCCTTGAGCCGAAAAAGGTTGAGACCTACTGGTTTAAGCTACTCTTGCCCTGAGCAGGGGCTGGATTAGATGACTTCCAGAGGACTCATCCAACCTAATTATTTCTGAGTCAGATCATGTGTGTGGATACGGGTGCTTGCATACTAGGAGAAAGAATAAGGATGTGTGTGCGGTGGATGCACGGACTGAATGAAAGGAGGTGGGATAAAGGTGGGGGGGTTATGGGGCAGCAAAACCAAGTCCCTTGCTTGGCTGTGTCAGGAGCTGTCTCCAGCGAACCCCCTTCCCAACCCACTGACAAGAAAGCACCAGACCCACATATAATCCTGCTGGCATATAATCAGTGACACCCCAGATGCTGGGCACATCTGGCGCACTTGTTTACCAGGCTCTGTGAGCCAGCAGCAGGGAAGTATGAGGGTGCACTGGGCAATCTTTATATAGGAAGAGGCAGCAGCTCACATACACGCTACGAATCCTTCGCTTACAACAGGTCCAGCAGCAGGATTCACACCCCGCTCAGAGTCCCCTTCAAACGCTGTCTCCACCTCTCCTGGAAACAGTTGGCTGCCTGCTGTCACGCAGGCCCCGAGCTCACTGCAGCTTCATTAGTGCATGTTAATCTCTGCAGCAGGAGAATAAAAGCAGGAGAAGAAAGAAGGAATAAAGTGTTTGCAAGGAGAGAAACCCTCCCTGCTTCCTCAGGAGGGTTGTCTCACATCTGTCCGAGCTCTGAGCAAGGAATGGAGGGGGCCAAAGGGTAAGAAAGAAGCAAGAACAGAAGGCTCAGGTAGGCTGAAATGTGTGTCAACCTGAGAATGGCTTGTACACCTGCTGTAACGTCTCGGGGCTACCATCAGACCTGGGACGTCGAGGAAACTATACTTGCACACCCACTGTAACGCTTCGGGACTATCATCAGACCTGGGAAATCCAGGAAACTATACTTGCACACCTGCTGTAACATCTCGGGGCTACCATCAGATCTGGGAAATCCAGGAAACTACTTGCACACCCGCTGTAACGTCTCAGGGCTACCATCAGGCCTAGGAAATCCAGGAACCTATACAAGCAGCCATTTGCTAGGGAAGAGTCGGGGGAGCTCTCAGGAGCAGAACTGCACCACCAACCCTCCCTGCATTGGCCTTCCACAGCTCACCAAAAAACCAAACCCTCCAGAAGAGTTGCGAGGAGGAGCTGCTGGCTGGAAGGAGCTACTTGGTGCTGCAGAGGCAGCCGCAGTGCTGCTTGGACTGAAGCAGTGCCCGGCAGGAGGCCTGTTCTTTCCCAGGCTGGTCACCTACATCTCCTCAGGCAGGTGAGACATAGGCAGATGGCACCTGACTGCAGACACGACGGCACACCATACCAAACTGGGCACGGCTCAGCGTCACGTTACAAATGCGGCTGAGGCAGACCTGCAGCCTCAAGTGGAAAGAAGCTCCAACTTGGGTGCTAAAGGACTTCCCCAGAATAGCTTTTCTGTCTCTTTGGAAAAGCCTCCCCCTCTTACGCTGCCCACTCCCTCTTCTTGGATTGTCATTTAACCACCTAATCCTCCTCGCATTTACACTGTCACAGCCACTCAGAACGTGACCCAGAACGTGTGACCGTAACTAGGACAGGCCAAAGTTGAATGTACAATATCGGTCACACATGCTTGTTGTCCCTAAAACAGTTCTTACTGTGCCTGGCATGAACTAACTTCTGTTGAACTAACAGTGAGAGGTTGCCCCAACAATGGAGCGGGTGCAACTTTGTGCTGGGACACTCCTATTGCAGATTAAACCTGGCTCACATCAGTTAGACACCAGATAAATGCAGTGCAACCTCGCACCTTTAGTTAAACAGGTGCAACTTTTGTGTCAACAAGCAGTCAGCTAAGACATAATTTTCCTCCCTTTCTTGCTGGTGTAAATGCAGAGCAGATGTGCTGGGCCAAGTGGAGTGCTACTAGTCTTAAACTGGTGTGAGACCTGAATCGGCCCATTATACTCCAGGCTGGGAGGAAAACGGAAGGGTCAGCTGGCTTCACTCACTGGTATTATTGTAATGTTTGGCACGTTACGCCGGATCATCATTGGATGCAATTTGGGGAAACCCTGCTGTATGACAGCTAGGGACTTAGCCAGTTTAGCATCTAACACTGACAGTGCGCTGGCTTTCCAGATAGGGCCAAATTCAGATTCTGGTGTATTAGCATAAACCTGGAAGAGAAAATGGGAATTTCTCGAGATTTACAGAAGAACCATTAACAGCAGAACCTAGTCTTGTCTGACCACACCAAATGGGTCACAAGAAATGTCAGGCTTACCAACATCTGGCTGGCATTTTGAGAAGCTGGGAAATAACATCATCTGTAGGCCGCTGTGGCTACCATCTTTCTATGTCACCAATTGCTAGTTCTTCGTACATTTTAACTTGGTCCTATGGCGAGAGTCTCAAGGGGCAAGGAGTTTTTGGGGGCACTGAACAATACAATGATGAAGGGAAGCAGAGAAACACGGATAAAGCCGTGTTTAGAAACCGCCGGTAAATTAAAACCTATATGGCTACAATGCAGAGTGTTGGTTTTGAGTTATATCAGCTGGCTCCATTTGTAGATGTGGCTACACTACTCATACCTAGGAAAATGAAAAAAAAACCCAAAACCTTCCAAGTGCCCATCTGGGGTCCTGTCCTGCAAACCCTTAGGCACCCTTCAAGAGAGACTGTGCCTGGGTACAAGTCTGCTGACATGCCCAAGCCCTCAGTCTTGTCCTGGGGAGGGTTTCTCTGTTTTCCATTCCCCTCAGTCTGAGTCATCCCATGTGCTAATCTTGCTTTGTGGACACTAAGGGAGGAGCCACCTGAATGCTCATGCTGTCCTGGCATGGCGCATGTGGACAGCTTACCCGGATAACGTCAGCTGGCCCGTCAGCTCCAACAGGTGCGCTCCAAAGGGAGCAGCTGGCTGGAAATCCCAGCACTGGTGACATCCCCTTCTCAGCAGCACTGAGCATGGGAGGACCCCAGCCCCACACCCTTTTTGATTGCAGGAATCCTACCGTAACTCAGCAAGGACTAAGGCTTGCCTGGTCTTAAAATTAGAGTTTGTAGACTCCAAGAGCCAGGAGGGGCAGTTATGATCCTGACCTGTCCTCCTGCCTAATACAAGCCAGAGAACCCCTCCCAGCCCCCTGACATCTGGTTGAACCCGAACATCCTCTTTTACAATGAAGTCTGGCTCAGAGAGCTCCTGCTTCTTTTTCAGAAAGGAAAATAAAGAGGTTGAGCTCCATAATCCTCAGGAATTCCACGCCGTTTTTTATAAAGTGATATATATGCTG